AGAGTTTTTTTTTCAAAAGAGTTAAATGTGTATTAATATTGAAAATTTGCTAATGAAAATTACGTTAAATAATCCATATTGAAGTACAGTAATTTATAACAAAAATACTGTTTTATCAGCTTTACTCAGTAGAACATAATACATTATTTTAATTATTTAATTTAATTTTATAATAAATACATATTATGTACTAAAAATCCTAATTAAGGTTGATCTATTACAAATTAAATTATCAAATTTCCTACTAGAAAATTAATTTGTAGTTTTACATATTTAAAAAAAAATTGTAAAACTATGTATACCGAATCAACTAAAACCGATCTTATCTGTATTATCTCTCGACTTCGAGTTTTATTATAATTTATTTTTCCATTGTTATCGTCATTATCAGGATGCAGTTAATCTATGGCGACTTTACAAGGAAGCCCACTTATTTATCGATTTTAAGAAATGTTTAATCAAACTATAGATAATTTGTTGAACTCACCTTATCAATTTTCCCAATGAATTCTTATGCAAATGTCTCTTCTTTTTCATATATGTTATGTATCAGACGTAAAATTATGATGAGGTACAAATTGGTCGTGTGAAATTATCAGCTTCAATTGCGCGTTTGACCAACTATTCGTTATGATCCGCTAATAATGGTCAAAGAATTTATATTTGAACTCTAATGAAGCTATTTCGTAAAATTATTTAAGCATATTTAAACAATATGAATAGATATTAACAAATTATTGTTTATGTATTTTTAAAAATAAAACTTTGGAAAATAATCAAATTTTCAATAAACAATTAATTTTGATATTCATGTTTTATTAAATATTAATTAAAACGTGACATTGTTTCATAATAACAAAGTCTATGAAATTTACAAACCATTCAAAATAACGGAGTTAAATGCCAAAACAAATAAAATATTTGAAAATTGTTTAACTTTGTTAGAATAATACAGGAATATATTAATTAATTAATACAACTTTTAATATCAATAAATTTTAAACGTTTTCAAACTAATATTAATAATGAACTGAACATGAATTTGGAATAAAGAATAAAGAAATTCTGATAAAATAAGTAAATTTTATGTTTTCTCGGAGTTAAAGAAAGAATATTAAAAAATTTTTATTTGTCTTTGCATAATAAGTCTTAATTATTAATTTAGTTGATTATCAGATCTTTTTGACAATAAAATATCATTCATATTAAAAATGTGGAAGAAAAAATTAAGATAGAATTAAGAATTAAAAATTCTGTCAATTAAATAGATATGAAGAATATAGAAAAATTTCGATTTGAATTTTAATATTATATATTATTTTTAAAAAAAGAATAATGAAAAAATCACATTGAATGCCTGTTTCTATGAAATAAGTAATATAGTTCTAAAATAATTTGATAGCTTACCTTTTTTAAAATGTAGCAATTGTTGTTGATAAAATCAAAATTTGGAACCTTATAGCAATATAGCAGCATTCAATGCAATTTTCGCATGAATTTAAATCGCTTAATTTCACCATGATACGAACGAGTTGTCATGGCTTACCTATTAGCTTCTATAAGACTGTCGCCTAATGCTTATCGAATATCGACAAATAAGCGAGACCCATAAACTTAATAATGTTTTTATTAATGAAACTTTACCGTCCATTTCTTATTGCTTTGCTCTCGACTTACTAAATATAAATTGATATAAAATAATCAGGAATTTGTATCGTGTATTTCATAATTATCATTCTGCAGATACTTTTCTTTCTTTCGTGATTTAGCGTTTTTGTAAAGGTTATTATTAACTCAAAATCGCAATGGATATAAAGCACAAAGAGGAGATAAATTGAAAGTGAAACCCGGTAATTTATTAGTAGTATCAAGAACATCTTGAATGCGGGCAAACATTTTTCTCATATAAATCGTAGCTGATCGGTTGTCAGTATTTTATCTCAGACTAAAAAGCAATGCTTTTGAAAGCTAAATAAACAATAGTTAAGTATCGTGAATTGATAGCGCTGCCTATCCTCGATTTAAACGCGCCGTTAGAACATTTTATTTACATAATTAATATTATAAAAGAAAGGAAACGTTTATAACCAGCACTCTACACTTGTGAATTCTGTCCACAAATGCCGGTGTGTTCGCAGGAAGCTCGAATTTGAGAGGGGACAGCGTTCGAACACGGAAGAAAATGGACTGAGCGCAAAGCGCAATGGTTCCGCGAAAATCAGCTGGTGCTACTTGGAATTTAATTTTACTTGAGGGCGAGAGAGAAAGAACCAAAGAAATGAGAGAGAGAGAGAGAGAGACAAAGATGCGCGTGCGCGTGCGCGTTCTTCGCGACGAAAGGAGACGTGGAGGGCGTAAAATGTGAACTTTTCTAAATCGGTTCGTGAATTACAACCGTAACAAAGTGTGTGCGAGCCGGAAGACGATTTCTTGGCGTGATATGCAATCAAAGGAGGGGGAGACGCTCGAACTTATATTTACAAACTGAGCGGTCATCGGGTGCCATTCATTTCTATTGCAAGTATCTATTCATAATAATTGCGATTTTTTATTTGTTTTGAATTACTTTAAATAATTAGTACATTTTTTACATTTATTGTGTGAATGATAACGCGAATAGAATATATCAATTATAACATGGATTTAGTAAATTAGCTTTTTATGTATTAATTTGAGAAACATTTATGACGTCGATTATTCAATGAACCTAGAATCGTGGAAATTCATTTATATCATATGTATAAAAGCTAATACATTTTTATATTGTGCACAATTTATAGAATATTATCTATACAAGAATATGTGTAGAATATTTGTAATATAAATTAACTAAATTAACTTAATAAAATAATATACAAATTTATTGAAAACGTAATTTTTATTTTTTAAGATAATTTTTAATTCTATTCCATAATTTGAATTATCATTATTCTAGCAAATTGTCGAAATACGATTTTCCTTATGTTCCATTATAAGACGTTATATACTTAAGTAAAATCGAACATTTTTTATTCTATTTTAATAATAATGCAACTAAGATTTTCTATATTAAAACAATTAAAACTATTGAATTCTCAAGTCTTTATTATATATTAGTATTATCGAATTCCAGAAAACTTATATATTTATTTGATATTATTTTTTACGTAAATTTAACCATAAATGATTATTGTTATTTTTATACATACTGTCATTACATTTTAACTCTTGTATAATATACATGAGATGTATTATTGATAACGAATGAATGTATAATAATTTAATGCGTTAAACAATACCTACAAAATAGAAAGTGTGTATTTGGTTAAATAAAAATATAAGTTATATATTTTTATTGGAAACAATTACGGAAAATAAATATTATTATTATATTGTATTTTTTATATTTTATATATAAAAATATTAACACTTATAAATTACAGAGTGTTTATAATGTTCTCCATTTATAATTTATATTTCTGTTAAACAATAAAAAAGGAATGATTAATATTCTTTATATAAAATAAATAAATTATAAAAGTTAAGTAACAAATAATTCGATAGCTGTTTCTATACTAAATATGTTATAATAAAATTTTATATTTTTTTTAATTAAATGGTCATTAAGTAAATTACAAAACTATCGTTTATTTAACGGATTAAAAAATTATTATTAGTAGAGTTATTAATTAAATTTTTAAATTAAATTAATTAAAAAAGTGTTATTAATTATAAATAAGAGTTATTAATTAAAAATTAAGTTAAAAAGGATAAATAAAAACTCTGTTTATTATGAAAATATAATTTTATATTATGAATTTATTTATTTGTTAAAAACTATAGAATTTTTCTATAAATCTGTTTATTTTAAAAGTACTAACATTAATACTCAAATAATCATGTTGATGATTCCTATTCGTGATATGAAAAATAAGTAGAATATAGGAATATAGTAGAATATAAGAAAATAACAGAAAAATATTATATTAAGATTCTTGTCATCAAGAGAATCTAAAAGGAATTTATTTGTTAATGAGTATGTGAGTAATGAATACTGAATGTTTGTAGAGTATGAAAGAGGTTATATAATATAAAATATATTACGGTAATATTATAACATAAAATTAATTATCTCTCCTCTCCTCTTTTGCAGCGAAAGTTTATTGGTATTTATAAGTAAAATAATATAATTTTGAAGTTTGATAGTAAAAATGTATATTGCCTTTAATGTTCATAATATTTCTATTAAATGAATGATAATGAAGATGATTATCATAGGTATGAATTTGTGTGTTGCGATAAATTCAATTAGTCGATACTTCTTTTGATGTTTATCCGACTAGAATATTTGTATTGCCATAACATGACATTAAATAGATAATTATTGACAAAGTATAAATGATTTTGCTTATTAATAAACAATAATAATAAATATTATTATAATACGGGCGGGGGAAAATGAAATGAGAGAGAGAGAGAGAGAGAGAGAGAAAGAGGGAGAGAGTGTGAGAAGGAGAGAGAGAGAGAGAGAGAGAGAAAGAGGGAGAGAGTGTGAGAAGGAGAGAGAGAGAAAGAGAGAGAGAAAGAGAGAGACAGTCAGACACACAGAGAGAGAATACACGCCTGTGAAAATTATGTCTGTATGATTACGCAAATCAATACCTTCTAATTAACATCAGGAGAAGAGAGCTTAAAGAAAATAAGTCGATTAATACTTAAAAAAAAAAATTTCAGTACCAAAAAGTCTTAATTTCTTCTTATTCAAATTTACTACTATTTTTTTAATTAAGCTTTATCAAAAAAATATTTACACTCTATTATATCAATATTAGCTTACTAATATATCTATATGAATTTAATTAGAAGAAATGTTTGTCTTATTAACAATATATTTGTGAATTCACAGACACAAAAAAATGATTATAAAGCCTAATAAAATATTTTTCTGACAATTTAAATTATTCGTTTTTAAACATAAGTTATTTAAATAATACTTTTTTGTACATACAGAGGAAGCTGAGGAAAATCAACTTTTATCGAGTTTACTTGACTGGCCCTAAATATGAATGAGTACAATTTATTTTTGGAGCTTTTGAACATTGCAACGTCTAGAATATGTTTAAGTCTGATCTTAATAGGTATCCGTCACGATGTGAAAGCTTTATTTTGAACTTCTATGCTGACGCGGCCTTGAATTTTTCTCATTTTGTCTCTGCTTGGTGTTGCCCAACATAATGTTGCGGCAACTGTAATCATGTAAAATAATTAATTTAAATAATCTATTAAAATAATGTCGATATATAAAAATATTAAATAATACTTATAAAAATATTAAATAATTTATAAAAAAATTAAAGCGTAACATATTATTGAAAAATGTTCTTAGAATAATTTAAGACGATAAACGATTTACATAAAAGATACTGAATGCCATATATAAAATTTTATTGAGAATATAAATTTTCTACTTACAAAATAACTGAGCGGCCATAATAATGATCAACACCATACAGTAACCATCGATGAGATAGCCGAAAAGCATATTACCGAAGAGTGAGCCAATGCGGCCGATAAATAAAGTGATGGCCGTGGCTACTACCCTGAAACAAGAGAAAAGTTTAACAAAAATTGCTACTTTATATTCAACAGTTAAATGCAACAGTTGGGCTTTATTTTTATACTTAAATTATATTGGTTTATTTTGACATAAATACGTTACTCTGACCGTGATCAAACTTTAGACATTTTAAATGTAATTGAAAATGTAATGTTTCGGCAGTTGGTGAAGTTTGTATAAGAATTAAAACTATATTAAGAAGCTACCTTAGTCATTTTATAATTAGTGGATATTTTAATGAAAATTGCAACGATAATATGATTTTTTAGTAAATATAAAATAAGTTCTGTTAAATAATTTAAAGAAAAATTAATTCATAATATTTAATCAATATGAATATTAGTTTATTGGTTTAAAGCTATTATTACATAATTACAAACTTTACGCACATCCGAATAATACTAAACAAATTGCATTGAAATTTTTTTTTTCAAATCGAGAAGACAAAAAATAAGTTGAAACAGCAACACACTGTATATGTTTTATACATTTGATACATTTTAATCATAGACAGAATAAGGATTTAATATAAATTTATATCAATATACTTAAAGTCATTGCCCTAATACGAAAGATAATTTCATAAATATACTCAAAATTATCAAAATATAATGGGTGTAAACATGATTAAATATTGCTTATATATTAAATAATAAAAAATAAAATATTTTAAAAACTTTGTAAAATATAAATTTTTAGCTATTGTTGTAATTAAAGTGTAATATAAATATTGTTAAATTTGTGCATATTTTTATAATTAATTTAAATATTGTTATATAATTTATAACATTATATAATTTAAATATTCTTCAATTGCCTAAAATTAATTATTTAGAAGATAATTTATGACTTGAATAAGTTAAATATATTTATATTATATAACTTTTCTTCTTTTTATTATATATTTATTTCTTTTCTTTAATAAAAGCCAGTTAAATCGCATTTTACCTTTACGAAGATGGATTTTTTAATAGTTTAAACTTCGATGGACTGATTTTATACTTATTGTAAATAGTAACAAATAATTTGGCAAATTAATAATCATATATTATAATATTTCAGGTTTTGTTTTTAATTTTTTTTATCAATGTATGTTAAAGAATAATATTAAATTAACATAATTTTGTTCACTATCGTAAATTTCTAATACAGCTCATTATAATTTTTCCTGCAAATTATTATATAAAAATGAAAATTTTAATCTCTCCTAGCATATAAAGTCATATTAGTCTGTAATGATAATTATATTAATGACTTAGGTAGTATTTAAAATATATAGAGGCATTTTGAAATTGCACATTATTCCCTTCTAGTCTTCTAATATTTCGTATCCGTGTAATAACGCATAATATTATTAAATAAAGTGTATAGATGTACAGAAATTTCATAGAATATATTATTTTCAATTGTAACCATTGTCTCTTGATTCAATACTCTTGGTTCAATATAATGCTGAGATAGAAAATGAGTCGAAAGATTTATGATTTATTTCGTTTAAAATTTATTAACTTTGTCAATATATAATGTTTTATATTTTTTTATTATAAATTTAATTTATAATTAAGCTATATCAATTCTAGTGATTTGCAAATTCTCTTATGAAATGAAAGTGACAATAATATATAATTTGAATTCATGTAATAATATGAAAAGATTGTAAGGGGAGGAAATTTCTAGTTCTCAATAATAACGTAATTTAATATGGGATGTTAAGAAATGTTATTAGATCCATAATGAAAATAAATAATAAATTGAGAAGAGGATTAAATGAAAAAAAAACTTTTTCTATTAAATACTTTACTCTAGGTACGAGTGAAAATGGTTACAAAAACAGATACTTAATTGGGGACTGTGTTTATATGGGGAATTTTATATGAAAAAGTTGAACTCTTCTACTATAATTACATTAGTGTGAGCGTACGGGTACTTCGTGGCGATCGACCTCGTTTCAATGTGCATTTATACTATTGCGGCTTTTGCCCGACTTTCTGAGTGTTAGTTGCATTGTGCATTTTACGCTTGCTGATATTTATTTCATGGTGTTCAACGTACTACATTGGTTTAACATATTTGGTTAAAAATGAATCAACATTTTTTCTGTATATTACTTGATGTTTACATAAAAATGAGTTTTGTGTATTGAAGGTAATAATTTAATTACGGACGTTATCAGTTTATATATGCATAAGAAAGATCGATACTTATGCGTATGTAATTGTATAGTATTTATATTAACTAATTTCACATTATGCTTAAGAAAATAAATGTGCCAATATTGGCTTTTACAATTACTGGCTCATTGGATTAGAAAATATTATAATTAATTTCTCCTTAATCATAAATAAAAATATTAATGAAAGAAATATTTAAATAAAAATATAAGAATGTATAATGAGCTTAACGAATATATTCAAATAATATCATTTAAAGTATTTAAATTAAAAGGTCTATGAAATATATACTTATTTAAAATGCCCAATGTATACAAACATTATATTAATGTAGGAATATATTACATTAATATAATACTTTTATGTATAATCACATGATGTTGAATTGAAAGAAGAATTGAAATATATTTTTTTTAAGAAATAATGGCCTATTATTATTGATATTATTATTGATGAAGCATTTTGTAGAACTCAATATTTAAATTGAGGCTATATGCAACAATCAATATAAACTTCTATAACAATTCCACCGAATGGATACATTCTCTTGCCTTTCGCTATTCCAATAAATGCATTTCACTGAATTATTATGAAATATAACAATCAGATGCATTGTGCGTTCGGTTACATATATCTTCGTAAATGGATTTAAAGTATATTTAATATTTATATTTTTGTTATTATTGTAACAGAATATTGTACTATAAATATGACAGATACATTGATATTCACAAATGCTTTTTCTTTGAATATAAGTTTGATAACTATAATACTATTAAATTCAGAAATAGAAAAAAATTATTATATACAATTTTTATACATTTCTAAGGAGTTTTATTTTTCTCACAATGTACGTTTTATCAGGTTTCAGTTATTTATGTAAAATATTTTTGTATATAACTAATTTGAAATTCCAAGATATTAATTACATTTATTAAATGAGGATTTAAAATTGTTTCATTATACAAAACATAATTATTAAACATCTTAAATTATATAAATTATAATTATTCATATTATTAAGTATTTTAAATTAAATATATTAAATTTGTAATTATATAATTCGGATTTAATCAAAATAAATATCAATGAAAGTAATTTAACATATTCGAAATTATTAAAAATAATGTATTTATTTTATATTGTTGATATTGCGTAAAATAATTTTACATTAGGTCTAAGTTTGATTTTATATTATTGTGAGATTAATCCTTCGAAATCGCCATGCTATTATTATTCGAATTTTTCTTGCACGAAAAAAAGTTTTATTAGTTTACCTTAAAAATTCATTAACTTCTATTCAACAACAATTAACTCTTTATAATAAATAATAGATCCCATGTAAAATGTGATGATATAAAATCTACAAATATTCAAAAGATTTTTCTTTTTTTTTTATTATGTTATTGTAACTAAATTAAAATTAATTTTGCATTTATGAATATTCAAACTAAATAGTAGTCATTACTAGTGATTCTTAGGTAGAAAAAATTCTTAAGACTGAAGATATTTATTATATAAATATACTATTTTGTATATTCACGATAAAAAAAACTTTTTGTACATCACGATATTATAATTCAAAAGTATTATCAAATAAATATAAATTATCAAACCAAAATTATTGTTTTTAGAACATAAATTTTTTATAAAAAATTGTAAAGTAATTTATAGAATATTTTATAAAAAATAAAAGCTTTAAATAATTACTGTATAACAAATATACAGAAGAGTCAATTTTGGATAGTTTTTGAAAAAGAATTTATTCTTACAGAAGATACAACGTTATAATAATAGTTAATGACAACGTAGCTTTACTTACGTCATATGATACAAAATTTCAATAGTAAGATAATTATAATTGAAAATAAAAATAATAGAATGATTTACAATAACGTATTTATAAACAACCAACTTTACCATCATTTGAATATATATACTTTATGAATTAAATAATTTTATTTGAATGGGTGTAATAATAAGTATTCAAATATTAATATAAATATAAATATAATTTAAAGATCGGAACGAAAATGTTTTAAAAAATTCAATATATATTGATGAATTCATTAATTATAACAATCAGATCTTACAAAAAATTTTTTAAATTGCAAATTGCAATATGCAAAATGAAAGATATTGGGTTTAATGAAATCATTTTTACAAACTATTATTGAAAAATATTTCTATAAGAGTCTTTTGAATTTTATGTTCTACCATTATTTCATATATCATAATGATTATTTTCCCGCTTTCAATTGTGATTTCAATCAAAATTAAAAAAAAATTCATATCAATAGAATAGAACCATTATATTTCAAAATTGACTGTTTCCTCATTATTGTCCAATAATAATTTCAATTATTAAACCCATTATTAAATATTAAAAAATTCAGAATAAAAACATTTGCTAAGAATTTACTATGACTGTATAGAAAATATAAAATATTATGTATAAAATGTAATAAATTATTTAAAAATATTAAATTATACTATTACTTATTAAATATAATAAATTATATAAATCCAACCTGATTCCAAATGATTAATTGTATAAAGTACTTTAAAATATATTAAAATTCAGATTTTTTATAAAATAATATAGTTCGAGATATATTGTCATCTTTAACGACATTGAATATTTTAGTCTTCAGATGACGATGATAAAACATATTTGAAATTTTATTTGTTATAAACTTATTAATATAGCAAATTTAATATCTAAGGAGATAATAAATAGTAATTATTGGCTAATGTCCTACTGCAAATTATTATTTTTTAGATTTAATCATCTTCAGAAATAATTTTCATACAAAACTGTAATACTGACTGAATAAATTATATTTTAAAATAGTAAATAGGTACAAACAGAATATTTCTAGTGAATTGGTTTGAAGATCTCTTTTTAACTTTTGTTAAAGAATGCAGATATAATTTATATTATTTTTGATGAATTGCATTTAATAAATTGTATTTAACAAATAAATTTTTATATCGGGATGCAAACACTTAATAAATATTATAAAAATATTATATAACAATAATAATGTTAAATTAATTAAAGTAATTATTGTATGTAAATGAATCATTTAAAGTACTCCTTATAATGTTCAAAATTGTATTTATCAAATTTAATATTGTTATGAAACTTGCTTATCGAGTACAGTGATTTATTAAAGTTTTTTAAAAGCAATCAATTAAAGAAAATAATTAATTATTTCAATGATTATTTTATTAATAATTAAACCGTAATCATTAAACAATTTATATGATTAAATTTAAATAGTAAAAATAAGTATTGATATAATATAAAGCAAAAATAGATTCTTTGCATATGCTGACATTTATTATTAAGATATGTCTCATACCGCCATAGATGAACTTTTGGCAGAGTTTTGACATACACATCGATCATGCGGAACTTTCTAATGAGAAATTTTTTGAAGTAGTTCACTTAAAATAATAAATGAATATTGATGTTTCGGTAATGGTTTCGTTTAAAATAGACAAGGTCAGACATTCTAAAAAAATGTTCGGAAAGTTAAATTTTACATTAATATACATTTTGTATAAATGATATATATGTGTATATAATTGCATTAATTTGTGCATAAATTACATGAAATCTATCTGTCTTAATATAATATAATACTGTAATATAATATACGAATTTTAAATGTAAGTAATCAATAATTATTATCTATAGTGAGTTCTTATCTATAGTTGCTTGAAATTCCAATATATCTGATATATTTACTGTTTATTCCATATATTTTCCTTACATAGTATCTTTAACGGAGAGTACAATAGAATCTATCTGCATAGTCTATACTACTGTTTCATAATCTTGAGAGATCGTATCACAACTCATTCGATTATGCGAGTTTCTAAAGTCTACCGAAGCGCAGTACAATAAGCCAGCCACTTGCATTTAAAGAGTAAACAAATACTATGATCGCTCATTACACGGATGGTTATATTACAAAGGTTCATTTATGCGTTAGCCTATACAAAGGAGGTAGTTATTTGCAATCGTAGTATTGATATAGTGTTTGCACGAACACTGGTATTCTTAATATACTAATATAAACGACAGTCACCAGATAATGGGGATTACTAGAATGGTTAAGAGAAGCAAGCAATAATAGGATACGAATACATTAATGTGAAATTGTAGTTATGTATAGATTTTATGAATGTAAACTAAAAACGTTGTTGGCAAGTTTCTAACGATAGGCCCTAGAGGAGTCGCGACTTCGAATTTTAATCAAATTTTATTAAGCGTTCTTTTTTAAAAATATAAAATTATTTAAATTTTATTATTGTTTGTATTTGCTTCTAATGTGATCCAATAATTTCATTTTATACTAATCAAGTATCATTTTTAATTTAATTAATAATAATAATAATTTATTGATTAATAAAATTTGTTTCTGGCTAAAACAAAATTTATTTCAAATAAAGGTATATATATATATACATCAATATTTTGTTAACAAATTAATAATTTTTAAAACATAATTTAAAATTTAATATTTTCACGTTAAAATACTATTTTGTTATGATAACAGATACCATTAATCGATATCTTGCATTGTAGTAATTATATATTTATTATTTATTTATTATTGTAGTAATTATAAATAAATTGAATAAAATACCTTTTGAATAATAAAATATGATTATTTTCTTACCTAAGATTCGTGGGGAAAAGTTCGACGAGTAGGCAGAAGATAACACTTATGTTGAGAGATGTGAATGCTTCAAAGATGCATGAAAGTATAAGGTTTTCCATTGAAGTTTTGACAAAAAAGAAGGCGACAGTTACTACACAAGAAATTGTCGCTGTGAATACTGTAAGTAAAGATATTATTTATCTCTCATATAAGAAATGCAAATTTTCTATGTTTTCTCGCGACAATGCAATTATAAATTAATATATTTATTTCATTTAATTAAAAATTGAAAATGATTAAAAAAAAATGATTAAAAAGAATATTTTCAATAATAATATAATTGATAATCATACTCAAGAAATAAACAATAATCTTAAAAAACTAAATGACTTATATATTAAAAACATATTTAATATATATTTTTCGTTCCCTCTGTTGCTTTTAAATTTAATAAATTTAAATATTACTATACCAGTATCTTATATATATATATATATATATATATATATATATATATATCAATTTATAATAAAATGAACAAATACATCGATATTAATTTATTTCAAATATCAAGGAACAATTAATTGTGTCTTTAATTATTAAATGTGTACGCACACATATATATTCGATAGCCAAATCGTTCAACCGTCAGCGGAAGGAGAATCGCACAGGGAAGACAGGCTACGCCTAGCCATATTGAATTCACATATACACTCGTATCGATCTCATTGTCACATCCGAAAGGATTAAGCTTATGATGAAACTGAATATGATTATAATTATTAAAAATGTAATTTATTTACTAAATAATAAAAGGAACGATTTTTTGCAAACAAAATTGAACCTATTTATACAACTAGTTTAAATTCTTTCATCACTCCATTTCTATTTATATTATTATTAAAATATTATATAATTAAAATATGGAAACTTTTATAAAATATACAAACTGAAATTGAATTGAATTTCATATTAAGTCAATTAAATTTAAATTATAATAATAAGATAATAAATTAGCTTTATAATTTAGATATATCAATATTTAGATAATTTTAAAACAACTATTACTTTTTAGTTTATTTATGCAATATTTGGAACAGTGAGAAAATTTTGGTAGAAGTAAAATTCTTTATAATAAAATGAAATTTAAATATTAAAAATACTTATATAAGTATTCTAAGTAACAAATGTGGTGTAATTGCTCTGTATTTTGAATTATTCTTTAAAATTAATTTCATGAAAAGGAAAATGTAAGATTATATTTTACCTAGATTTATCATAGATACGATTATGATATAATTCCTTTATAATTTATGGCATTCTAAATAAACATTTCAATATACATTTGTTGGTACTTAAGAATAACAGGTGTGTATTTTGTTTTGGCTTAAAAGTTTTTTTATTAAATTTTATAATGATATTATATTAATTCTTTTCAGCAATTTCTTAATAATTGTAGCATGTTTTTTAAATATGTAAAAATTTCCATTTTTATTAATTTATGAAATATGAACTTTTTATAAAAGTTTTTCGGAAATTAACTTAACTTAATAATTTATTATTTAATTAAAAACTAAGAATATTTTTAAGCTCATAAACTTATAGAAATTATAACTATATGTAGGATAAAAATAATTTTTAATGGAATTTCAATATTTCATAGGAGAAAAATGACATCCTCATAGATTCCTAATGCAATCCCTAAATTTGTGGAATAATAAAAATATAGTGCCATTATTTATATCTTTATTATGGTAATTATTTGACAATGATAACAAGTTCTTCAGTAACGCTGTCGTAGGCAATTATGTCAAGAGATAATGTAAACATATAAAGGTGGCCTTGCCGGTCATATAATGTGATTCTATATCATACGTAGAACATTCAGCCGTACAAATTCAAAATATTATTACAGTATACATTTTTGTTATTCATTTTAATTATTGAATTTGCATAATTAAATGTATAAAAATGTCTTTATTTTAACTTATGTCTAAACAGATAAATAGCATACGTATTTTTATATTTAGCAGATGTATTAAAAAATATTTTTTTAATATAAAATCATGAAAATGTGTCATTATCAAAGTTGCCGATTATCAAATAATTACATAATTTTAATTTTAATGGCCTTTATCGTTTATACGTAGCAATTTTGATGGATAATATAGAGACTGATACAAAATAAAAAATAACTTACGCTAATGGAATTATTAGTTATAGCGAGTCGCTGAGATACAGTACAGACGCTCGCGAACTGTCCAGGGAAGATTTTCTCGAAGGTGGCGAAGCGCTGGAAGAGTTCGGGGAACCAAGTCATGAGGGAGTAGTACGTTGAGGTCATGCAGAACATGATGGAACCGGTAACGCCGAGCCTTTTTGCATAGGGTTTCTTTGTAAGTGCTTTCATTTGAGATTTAGAACTATTTAGCATTATCTTCAGCCTCTCCTTATTCGTCATCGACATAGTTTTCAATGTTTCCGTCGAATCCAGTTGGTTTACTAGGGCACTAATCGATGGTATCGAACATGTCGACAGTACGTTCTAATGTGGATAATTGAAGAATTTCATTATACTTTATTAAAACACATGATTGCACGACATAAACATTATTTTACGACATAAATAAATCTAGATAAATTCATAAAAGTAGGTTTGCTAATTAAAGAAAAAAATTGTTACTTTTAAGTAAAAACTGGATTTAGTTGCTTACCATTGAACAATAAATTAAAAATATATGTGAATGAATGAAATTATTTAAATTATACCTACCAAATGATAACAGTCCCATCATTTAATATAAATAACGATTTTCAATATAATAACAATTTAATATTTTATTGCATGACAATATTTAATTAATTTTTCCTATTTTTGCTAATGAACTCCGTCAAAAAAATATCATATGATTTTTTAACTTTATACAGCTAAAAGTAAATCAAACAAACTTTAAATTGCTCGGCAGTGTTGCCAGTATTTTCGATGTACATCCGCGTGAGTACATCCATGAGAGCATCAAGGCGGCCATTCTCTGCTAGGTACTTAGGTGTTTCTGGGAGGTTGAGCATCCAAAGGGCAACGATCAATGCCGGCAAACAATTCGTTAACACAAACAGATTCCATGAACTAAATGACAACATGTGCAGCTTGAATTGGAATCTCAGTGGGATTATCAGCCAAGCAATCACTGTAATTCAAGTGATACTGTTATCAAGATATTTGACTGGAAGGAAATAGCGTGCTTATAATTCATAAATTAATTATAAAAATCATATCTTATGACCTTCTCTTAGCTTAATTTGAATTTATGTATCTGACATTTTTAAAATGGCCTGTTGTAATACACTATGCATAGTTGCAAAATAAAAATGATCAACACTAGGATATTAAAGCACTAATTGAAAAATAATTATGAAAAAGTAACTAAATTTAAGCGTTGGAAAAATTAAGATTTATATAAATCTGAGTGTTAATATTGTGGTTAGTTTAGTGTACTTGTGTGTACTATACTAATATGCGTGTTTGTATAGTGTAATAAATATATGTATATATCTATATATAAAAGTGCGGGGGCGGGGTGCGCATGCGCGCACGCGTATGTGTATGAATTTATTTATTTCTTTTATGTAGCATGATTTTACATAAAAATGTTTTGCTTTTAAATGTATAATCAACAGACAAAATTTTACATCCGTTTTGTATTATTGTGTGTTGTGTTAAATTTTATTATTTTTGTTTTCATCAACATAATAATTTGTAACAATGCAACTGTAATGTGAGCGGTTTTCTTGTCCACCCGCGTATTTACACATGCATTTATGAATAACATACATAAACAATTAAAATTACGAGAAATATAAGAACAATGCTTGGTAATAAGAATTTTTTATCAAATAAAAAGATTATAATGTAGTTACTTAAATACATTTAAGTTCGTTGCTTTTTCAGTTTTTTTCACGATTTAATAGTAACTTATACAATTTAATTGTAATAGTCTTTAAAAAACAATAATTCATAATAATAACAATAATTCTGAAATACATGATGTAATTATGATACAATTACAACTATGATTATAATGCTATATTTTTCGTAAAATTTTATAATTGCTGTGAAACTTTTATGATTATTAAATTGATTGATGAAATTGCGCCAAGAATTTTTTAAAAGTTATTGTCTTATGCTATATTATTATATAATTTTATTTTTATATGCTATTAATAAAAGTTCTGATTCTCTGCACAATAAGTTTTGACTGGTTCTTAACATAATAACAATTATAATTATATCGATGATTGGGAAAGGCAATTACTTTATAAATATAAACATGATTAATATATAGTATCTTATATATAGTACAAAAATTAAAAATATAATTAATTGTGATTACTACTAGGATATACTTATTAAATGATAAAATATTTATAAATTCATGAAATATTTTAACATTATTCTATATCAAATATTTGAGGATATGCGAACTTCGAATATTCTCAGTTGGATATCCTTTTTTCTTAAATTACATCATGGTAACTTCAATTTTACACTTTCAATGCCAATATAAATAATTATAAATCTCATCTAATTTTTCACAATATTATAATAATTATGATATTTTTTAGGACTTAAAATAATTACGAGTCTATATATATTTAATATACATTATAACTTGCATTTTGTTTTACTTCAAAAGAATTTTTATGAAAAGTACATACGTGCAAGTATTATAACACCAATTGCCCAGGAAAGTTCCATCCACGATAATATTTGGTTTCTATATTTCGTCGGTTGAAATTCGCCAAGATACGTAAAAACAATGGATAGCTGTCCAGTTACACTAAAAAAATATTTATAACTTTTAATAATACGCATTTCCCAATGTACATTATAATTTATGTCATTAAACATTGTTAAAGTTAAAATTTTTAAATGGATCTCACATTTTAATTAGTGTAAATTAAAATTTAAAATTTAAATATATACTTATAATATATACCTAATTCCGCTTAAAAATTTAAGAAATACGAAGGTCCAATAACTAGGAACAATGGATGCCAATGCATCGACTGTTAATTGCATAAATAACGATATTAAAAGAGCAATTCTACGCCCCTTTAAATCGGCCAAGTATCCCCAAATACTTGAGCCAATCACCATACCTAGAAAAATATTTGTTTAAGTTCATTTAAATTAAATTTAAATGCGACAACTGCTTTAAAATAGAATTAAAATTTCTATACCTAATATTTAAAAATAAATATTTTAGTAGCTTCATTTTTTAATAAATCTAGTTCAATTTGTCCGAAACTAATTAATTAATGTACAATTTAATATAATCATATTAACTTTGTTATTTAAAAATAAAAACCATGCATCTAAATAAATCTGTAAATTTTTAAAAGTAACCTATATTTTAAGAACGTCCTTTAAGTTACATATTTTAAGAATAAAATCCATTAATTAACACAGTTTATTGGAAGATTTACCTAACATAGGAGCAGCACTTATGCGGCCTTTATCGATGGTCGTCATTTTGAAATCACAGGCGGCAGTGGGAACGACGAAGCCGACACTTGTGATACAGAAAGCGCAATTAAAGAAAATAAGCGCAGACACAGCCGTTATCTTGATATTGAACTTACCAAAGCCTGTGATAGGCAATACCATATACATTACGATAGATTATACATCGAAATATTAAATGATATTAAATTCATAATATTCAATTATTGAATTACCTGTTTGCTCGACAGCTTTTTCTGCTATACTTTCTTCCATATACATTTCTGAAATATGTGAAAATACTGTTTTTAATTTGAAGAAATTATAATATGGAGCATTTATTATTATCCACAATATTCATAAATTTTAAAGTTATATTGATAAATTAGAAATAATTTGTGTGTATTCTCTTGTTTACAACTTTTGCATTAACATATTGTATTAATATGGGAAAGAAATTTTATGTATATAGAAGTATATAGTTAGTTACTTTAGAAAAGTAAAATATGAATATCCTTAATAATGTTAAGATTGTGAATTTTTACATATTTTGGTATGCATTACATCGGTGAAAACAATATATTTTTGATTAATTTCAATGAAATAGAAATATTTGCCTTTACATCTTTTGAATTTATGTATTTTTAAAATGTCACTTGGTTCAATTATATATACATTACGGAAAACGGTTTATCATTATAATAATGAAAAATCTTAAAATATTCAGAGCTTTGTCGTGCAAAATTTTTTTATGCGTATTTCGATTTAATAAATACATATAATATACTAAGTGCATTCATATTTTTATTTTAGTAATTAAACATTAAACTAAAGTTTTATTAAATATAAGATTTATGTATTATTAATAATAAAATACACTGAAAATATTGTATTCAATTAGTACATAAAACAAATCGATAATATTAAATATAATAAGTATATTTTTTATAAATATACATTATTATTATTAATTGTATAAAAAATAGATGTACTGGAGTGAGATATGTATTAATTTTGTGCTAAATATAAAAAAAAGATTATTATACTTTATACAGTATTGTAATAATATTAATAATTATCACACACCAAAAGAATAAATTTTCTTCACTTCGTTTGTTGATTCAAAATTTCAATCAGTGTAAAGTGGCATCACGTGTAACCACCAGATACTATTGTTTGAACAACTAAGAAATCGTAATAAGACCGTTCTCGTAAAAAATCGATGAAATGTGGAATCGACACATCCAGGATTACACTTTTAATAATAAAATATAAATTTATAAAGTAACGAGTTTTTAATTGGAGGAGCAAAAAAAAACCGTTAACCAACTCACACGATACGTGACTAGTATGTAAACTCAATTCGTTTTCTTTTTATCATACGCCATCTCTTCCCCCTTCCTTGTCGGTCTTTCACCGTTCCTTTTGTTAAAACAGCTGTAACAACCAGCCAATTACTAATTAGTCTGAGACAATATGAATCCCCCACCCTTTGAAACTAATTTAATCGTTTTAAAAACGTGTGTTAATCTATTAATTGACGACACATAGGCAGTTTTCTTCAGTTCAATTTCATGTCTTTTCTGTTCTGTAAAGATTTTAACATAAATATCACTGTGTGAATGCAGATAAAGTAGAGTGGTATGCTGCACTGTTTATTTATTAAAAATAGATATACCTTATCTGTGCAATGTAAATATTATATTAATTTTAAAGTAATAATACACAAATAATTATTATAAATAATATCTTATGCAATTACGTGTGATAAAAATTATATAAATTTATGGTTATCAGTTTTTAATATTTATTTACTAAATGAAGTTTAAAAATCACTATTATATAGTGTTTTAATTAATATTAATTTTTGATAATTTTTTTCAAAATAATTTTCCATTAAAATATTTATGTTTATTGGTAATTATGTGTAATATAATTATGCTAACAAATACTTAATAACTAATCTGTATTATTTATTATTAACTAATTAATCAATAATAATTTATTTACATTTATAAAATACTAATAATAATTTGAACATTTATTCCTAAGGTTTCATCGGCTTTTTATGTCTCTAGTTTTACTATTATTTAAATAATGTTTCTGACAAATTGTAAATATATTATTATAATAATTTTTATATAATAGCAATTGTAAAAACTTTCACGCATTATATTAGATGTAATACTTAGTAAAAAAAATTTTTATTTTTTGTTTAATTTAATCAATGTTTTTATTACTAATAGGTTTAGGTTTAAGAACTGCTTATTTAGCTTATTTAACTACTGACGTTGATGTATTAATTTAATAATTCAGCAACCATATATAATTAATAATAATCATATTATCAAGATAAGAACTGTAAATATGTTTATAATACACTGGGATATTATTCCAATTTTCTATTAAAAATCTGATAATAAATTGATGCATTAATTAAATTAAAGTGACATTTTTTGTCAAAATTATAAGATTTTTTATTATGTACAATAAATAATTTATGTAATGTTTTTTAATAAAACACTTACTACAGTGTACAGATGAACTTTAATTATAATTTAAGTTTCAATATTTTAAGTTATAAATATGCAATTATTCTTTATACGTTACCACACTACCATATTTATTTTTAGCATTGAATACTATAAAGTATTTTTAAAAAGTTACTATATTCGTAACTATACTTACTAATTCACAAATTTATGTATTTTATTATCTATTTAATATTTTTTAAGTCTTAAACAATCATCATAAATTCCATTCAAATAAGAAAATTTTTTTGTTACACTATAATTTAAGTTTTTCGGTATATTTAAATAAGTTTAACAATATTCAAAACTTATTTACTTTCAAATAAATAGATTATTCATAATTTGTTAATATTTGCGCAGTATGTTAATATTTTAAATATTGTAATAACCTTGCACATAAATGCGTAAGTGCGTCCATGTGTATATTAATTTAGTTATTCATGAAAATGTATTAGCGTAGATTGTTTCTGTAAATTATTCTATACACATATATCGTTTAAATAATATATATATATATATATATATATATATTATAGTCACTGCACATATGTATGTCTGCCTTATATTTTTATAATATTATTTAGGAAGTTATATTAAAAAAACTTTATTACATTGATACTTAGGTATATTTAATAATTTATTTAATTGTTAGAATATTTTAATGTTTTTAGAAATATGATATCGTTGTTGCATTTTCCTGCTTTTTGTCCTCAGAAAAATATAAATTGATATCGGTACACATGCGTATTCATATCCTCAAATGAAACTATGCAAGCTTCTGATATTTTATTGATATAGCTATATGCTGTATTATTTATTATCACAATTATTATCACAATTTATTATTCTAAATCTTATTTTTATTATAAAATCTGTTATATTTCTAATATATTTTTATATAACATATTGTAATAAATATAATTTATGTATTTATGCATTTGTAATTACATATTGTTATTACATACTGTAATATATATTGTTATTACATATTGTAATTAAATATTGTAATCATATATTGTATTATATATTGTAATAAATTATGTAAGTTATTATATAACATGTACTAATGAATTTAATTTATAATGCACAGATTATTAAATCGAATTATTCAATCGACACAATATTTAAAAATAAAAAATTCCTATTTTTTAATTTGTATATTGTATGTTTCATTGTATTCTTATCATAAATTTTCATTGACTCCTTAATAGTGTCAGTACTTGATAACATTTGTTTAATAGATTTCGACAATTTTTAATACGTTTTTGATTGATTAAATACAAAAAATTTATAATCTATATATTGTTTTAGCAATTTTGTTACTTATTAAAACTTATTTAATTATAGCTGAACAATAACAATCTATATTAATGAGAAAATTTTTATAGAATTAAGAAAAATAATTTTAAAATGCCGTTTTGTTTCTTAACACTACAAATTCTCTTTTATTTATATAAAAAATTTTAGTATAAAATTTAATTAGTGTTAAAATTATATTTCCTATTCAAACAATCGAAATAGAAGTTCTAACAATTTAATTTAAACCTTTTAAAATATTTTTTTCATACAATTAAATTAAATTATTAAATGGTATAGAATAATATTCGAACATATTTTGTTTTAAATAATAAAATTACAAAATTTGTACGATTAAAATATGAATAGCATTATTTATATGAGTAAAAAATTAACTTCTTACTATTTAATAATTCAGACTGAGAGTTGAAAATAATATACTAATTTATTTTATATGATAAACAGCATATTCATAAAGCAAAACTAAATATTGGTTACTGTCTTAATTGGGAACTGGTTTCCTTATTTTATTATCTGTGCTGTTTATATCTCTCACAAATCCTCCGTTTGCAGCAATATAAGAGTATCAAAAGCTTCATATTTTCTTATAAGTAAACTTATTATCTTACGTGTAATTATTTGAATAATCATAAAAAAAACAATGTTTGTATGGAATATTTGCTTTTTGTAAAGGTACAGTCCTGTTGATATTTACGTAAATGAAATATAATCATTTCCTTAAATAATTACAATTTTTTGCTTAAAGTCACATTTCTACAAGTAATAATTATAAATAAAAGTACAAAATCAATTTAATTTTAATTTATACTACATATAATGCAAGTATATTGATTAAAATTTCTACCAAATATTTTCATCGATAGTTTATTAGTTAAAGTTATTATTAACAGATTAAATTATAATAAAGACAATATAATACAAAATAATATATTACTATTTATTTAGTAGAAAATTAAGTTTGAAATGACTTAGCTAAATATGTTGCAGTTTTCATGTATCGAGAATTAATTCTCAGTATATAAAATAATCTTCAACTATATTTCACGAACATATCAACACAAAGTGAACTCACAAAAGTAAAAACACTTTCTCATATTTAAATTCTCCTTTGAGAATTTATATCATTAAAGTAATTTGTTAAATATCCTGCAACTATTGATAAACAATATATTATTTCGAAACGACACACAATTATGTCAACAAGAGAATATATTTCAATTAAATTTGTTCAGAAAATTCTAAATATGTAACTAAAAAATGAACCTAAAAAAGTTCGTTGTAAATAACTAGTCACTCATTTTAATTGCTTGCTATAAAATTATTGTTAACTTGCTCGGAAGTTGAAATAAAATTAGTCTAATACCGTCAATGATGAGCCCAGTAGTTTGGTAAATTCTACTATATAAAATAAGTCTGATACACAAATATAGATATATATGGTATATAAAATAATACTTCTCGTTATAAATAAACTAATAAAATAAAATAATGAAAATCTATTCTTAAAATGAATGTGTATACTTAAAATTATTTTACCTTTATAATTATAATATTTATAAAAATCGATTATTTTAATACATTCTCAATCAACATTTTAATGAAATTAATTTCTAAAGCAAATATAATATTCTATTATCAAACTATAATCCTATCATTGTGTAAAACATTCATCAATAATATTTATAATGTCAATATCATTACTATTCAATATTTCACACGTCTTGGTATTAAAAAATCACATTGTATATTGGTAACTTCTAATGCAATGTTGTAAGTTTTTACGAGATAAGAAATTATTAGTTTTAATAATAGAATCATTAAAATAATTATTAAATTAATATTCAATGGAACATTGGTGATAATTTTAAACAACTTTATCGTTTTGATAAATACATTTATTTAACATTGTGCATTCAAAAAGTAACTTTGAATTCATAATTATTATTTGTAATTACTTTACTAATTTATATTATTGATTTATTTGTAATACTAATACGTGAAATAATTAGGCTTTAATATATTATTTATTTATTGTTTTAATTTAATGAAAAATTATTTTAATTAAAGTGAATTGATTTTTTAAAAAGGACACAGATACGGATTTCACGTGAAAACCATATGTATGACAAAAGTTAAATAATTATAAATATATAGGAACTTGCTGTTCAATCAAATGAACATAAATTTCATTGTAATATTACTTATAACAGAAGCAAATACTTTTTTTAATCTTTCAGTAAAATAATATTATTCAATAATGATAAAGAATAATCTATTTTAGTAGTATATGTAATAAAATTATAAATAAATTATAAAAGATAAATTATAAATGAATAAATTAATAAAATTATAAAAGCTTCTTTACAAAAAAAGTTTCTATAATTTGTAATTATTATTATAAGCACATGATCGTAATTGTATGTATGGTAGAATAAAATATGCAATTTATATATTTATAATTTTCATTTATAATTAATTAAGTATTTAATTTTAATTTATTTTCAAGTATATAAAAAGTTTGATCATTACCGTTATGGATGTTTAATACATATATTTATTTATAAATTTTCTAAGTTTTAAACATTTGATTGATATTTTATGGTACGAGTTTCATAAAATATATTAACATATATACACATTAAATAAAAAATATAGTCACAATAGCAACTACTTTGTGAAACACTTTCACAAGATTTTATAATTATATGATTATAATAACATACCTTTCTGGAAATCGCTAAAATTGAATTAATATTAATAATTATATTTTTTTTGTACTTACAGTTTATTTACTCATATATGATATTACTCCTTGTGATATAATTAATAAAGAAAATGTTCACTTTAACCTTATCGTAGAATATTGGAATTAAGTACAAATCATATTTTAATAGTAATTTAAATATATATAATCATAATATAATTAAAATATTTTAATTATCAGTATAAGTTTTGTAATTTATATTCAGTTATTCGAATACTCCAATACTTTTCAATTGTTATTGACAAAATGTTATTATTGACATGTTCACGACGAATAAAAGTATTAATTTTAAATTGTGAATTTAAGATTAGGATTTACAAATTTATGCATTAAAAAAAATCGTAATTTATTTATATATGTAATATATAATTGAATAAATGAAAATTATGCTAATACTATCATAGCGGATAACATATGTAATTTACATTTGTAATATATGTATTTAAATTTTTTACGATTAATCAAAATTATAATTTTGATAAATAAAATATATATGAACTATAACACTTAACAGTAATTACATTGTTTTAAAATATTTGATTATTAAATTAGATTGTATTCATCTTCTTATTTATTCCTTTTAATACTATTTTTAATCATAATAAAAAGTTATAATTTCATTGAAAATATACAAAAAAGCCTATCACTCCACAAATTTGAAGTTATAAAATCTCACTGGAATTAGACGTATATTTTTATTATTTTTAAAGTGTCTTTAATTGCAATAAAATAAAGATAAGTAAAAGAAATACTAGATGCAAAAAATATATATTTATATATATATATATATATATATATAAATTCTAAACGATGAATCTAAAAGGCAACCAAACCATTATTATAAGTATAAATAAATAAAATTACTATTATAATATAAATAAAAGAATAAATTTAAGAATTATATAAAACTTAAATGTTTAAATAAATAGATAAGCTAATAGATAGAATGGAAGGAGAAAAGAAAAAAGTAAGTAATTTAAAATCGCTTCCATGGCCACGATAAGTAGGACCGACTTTCTATGACTTCCTGTGTCAATGTCAACCGAGCTCTCGACAACCAAGATTTCGACATACTTATTGATATATTTATCTCTTTTTAAATAATTTGTTAAACAAATAGAATTTTCTTGTATTTTAAATAAATTTTCACCATTAATTCTACATGTTAATGCTATGATGAATTTTATGTTTGTTCTTATTTTAAAATCAAATAACGGCATAATGTTTGATTACTAGAAAATTACACTTATCAATAATCTAAAAATATCATTCTCTTGAATAAATTTATTATCATTATTTTAAAAGTATAATAAAAATACAATTAGAAGCTCGATTAACTTTTATATTTTAAAATGGATAATCCTTTATAATTATTCATATCTTTTCATTACTAATCTTGCGTCATCTGATGGATTAAAATCAAACATTGTCAAAATCATTGTTATTTAAATTCACATTTTCATGTTTGTTGTATTCATCGCTACTAACTAAATTGGAAAAATCATTATTTGAAAAGTTAAGTCCTTTATTCGAAGATTCCTTAATAATATCCTTAAGATTATTGATTTTGAAAGAAATTGCGATTCTTGAGATTTCGTCGGCATACTTTTCCAAATTTTTAATTCTTCCAGTATATAAGTACCGCATAACTTCGTAAAAAGCATCGTAATTGAAATTATTTAAATATACTATAGGCTCATCTAAGTTCTGTTTTATCCTCTCGAATATTCTGTCAAACACTGAACTATGAGCTGCTAGTATTGCCTATATAAAAAAGAGTCGTCAAACCATAATTAAACTCAAATTCACCAACTTAAATTTTATCAAAACTTTTTTTTAATTTATAAATAATATAATTATAAGAAATCGATGTTATTTTTGCATAAAAGGAATTTTAATTTTTAAATTCAAATTAATTTTAATACTTTAACTAAAACTGAAAATCTCATTTATATTTATTTTTGGTAAATACTTTTTACTATAATAGTCGGATAATAAATACGAATGGTTAACACAATTTCTGGTATTTGAACTTTTAATTAATTATATTCTTGTTGACTTTAGTAGAAATTTATAATTTTTTAAAAAAAAAATTATGAAAATTTATCAGAAAACCTTCTAAAAGTGATATTATTTCTTTATTTTTAGAAGCTTATCTCAAAACTTTTACTTCTCAATGCAACATTGAATTATATAAAAGTAAAAAATTTTTAATATTTTAACTCTATATTATAACTATATATTTCAATTCAAATTTAAATATAAAACTATATTAATAAAGTTAAAGTTATACAAAAATTAAGGATTTATACCATATGAGCTGGAAAACTTTGACCATTAACAACAAATGTAACATCACTGTACTTGTTGTAATTTAAGAATTTGCCGATGGCATGCAGAACGTTAAGGGCACGGATATCGTTTTTATTGCAAATTGATCGTGTGACTTTTTTCGAATTTGTTTTATCGTCATTATTTATGAAATCCCAGAAGCTTATATCAGCATAGATGGTTACAGTATCTTTCATTGGATGCTGACTATTAGGATGCTGATTTACTAACTTGTTCCTAGGCGTTGCTTGTGTGAGGCCCCAACCTTTAAAACTATTGTTAAATAATTGCCGTAATTCACGTGTTATAATTAAATCACTGACTTCACTCTTGAAACGGAATCTGAATTTTATTTCGAGTTTCTCCATGTCTACACAGTTCCATAGCAAATGAATTCCAATAGAATTTCTCATCGGCCCATCCCGTGTATTTATCTTTATTTTAAATTGATGTTCATTATGATTAACTAATGGCTCGAATATTGGCGAATCAAAGGCGTTGGTATCGATAGCACTAAAATTATGAATTGTCCAACTTATATTTGTACTTAATTCTATCGGGTAAGTTACTTTCCACTCATCAACGGATGTAGAGGCCATAGTGTTCATGGCATTGAATATATAAATTATATTATATAAAAAGTACCCGCCAACTATCACACTTTTTTGCATGGTGTATTTATCGATAATTGTACGATTAATAATTTGCAAAATAATTCGTGTCCCTATATATGAAAAAGTTAATATTTTTAATTTTTATTTATATTTTTATATAAGTAAAGTAAATATACAGATGTAAAAATTAAAGTATAATTAAAAAATTGAAATTCTAAAATAAAATTGAGTAAATTAAAAAAAATACATGACAAGAAGCTTGAAAATTTGACCACTTATACTTTAATATTACAATTTTTATAAGCATTCAAAAATTCGATAATATATGAATAATTTTATAATATTATTTAATCTTGAAAATTTCAAACAATTAAAACATTAGATTTAAATCAAATCAAATAAAAATAATCAATTTTTGATATTTGAATATATAAATATTTTATTATTACAACCTTTTTATATGTTAAATTTTTGTATTTGTTATTATGAACAACTAAAATACAGTAATTAGCAAATGTCACCTGTCTCTTCGTACCGTACTTAGTAATGATTGCACAAAATGCCTGGTTTTATCCACGCAGGCCGCAATTTTCGATAGTTAATTGATAAAGCTGAGTAGATTTGTAAGTAATTTACACTTCTTGATAAGTAATTATTACTTGAGTCGAATATAACATGAGATATTATTAAATACACTTTAGTCTATTATAGGCTATTATTCTTTAGAGTTCTGCTTTATTACCATATGCGGGATATGAAAACATATTATACTATAATTGTTTTGTTAAATTTAATAGTGAATTAATTCTGTTTTATAATGACTGATAAATTTAAGTTACCAAGTGCTTAAAACATATTTGAAGAAACTACTCTTCAGTTTTTAAATATTTTTTATGTGCTTGTATATTTCCTATATATGTTCATATAAATATTCATTTTAATTTCATGAAAATCCATTTTTAAAAAATCAAGTAAAATGATAAATATATTTTAAGAATAAATATTCAATGGTAATAATTAAATAATGAGCTTTCTTGAAGATATTTTCAATAATTTAATGGATAATATTTTTATATTAATTAAATGTACCAGTAGTTTTTCTTTACAAATAAAAATAAAACTACTCCCTCTTTTACTACAAAATAAATATATATGATTATTTACATTTTAAAAATCACTTTATTTACATTTTATGTAGTTTTCTTTAGTATTTTTTATTAATACATGTAAACGTGTGATACCGTATTATCATAGATAATAATAGATATTTAAGTAATTTAATTTCATGTTTTAAATTATGCTTTATTTTAATAGAATAATAACAAAAATTAAATTCCGTACCAACAGCATTCATAGAAAATGAAAAGTAATCAGTTTCTATTGCAATACTCTTAATTTATTGCAATACATTATTAAATTTAAATTTATTGGTAAATAATATTACTACAGTTGGCTAATGTATTAAAAAGAATAATGAATAGTAGACGTTTCACAGAATAATGGGAAAAGTGAAAAACAGGAACGCTGCTATAGGAAACAATAATGTTCTAGAAAACTGCTTCATGAGCCAATTCGAAAGTATTCTACTATATAACAAAATAACAAAATTTTCTCAAGAATTATCAGAAATTAGAGCACCATTAATAATGGAAATAGGAAATGATCCTAGAATATACATATATAAAGTATAAAATTAACACCAATAGAAATGGCAACAATAAAGCATTTATCAAATGAAAATGTTACCATATCTAATTCAGATAAAGGGCATTTATAAAAAATAAAAACTATTGGATATTATATATAGATGTAATAGCGTTTTATACATAATATATCATAAATATATATATATATATATATATATAATATTAAATTTATTATATAATAAATTATATCTTAAAATTATATCATTTTTATGCACTTGTAAAAGTTTTATCCATAAATATTGATTAATTAACTTTTGTATATAGTATAATATTGCAATGTGTATTATGAAGGATTTTGCACATACTAATATAATATATTTGAACAGTAATATAATATCTAGTTTGAATAAGATGAGCTTTAAAATGTGGAATAAAGTTATTCAGAAACTTTATGTAGATGCTTAATATAATTATTTATATAATAAATAATATAATTAATTATATGATACGTAAATATAACAAATCATATGAAGTAAATGTACGTAAATATAGACATTATGTAAATTCTGTACTCAATTTAATGTTTGAGAAGTCATAACATATAACATCGTTAAGAAATTTTATAATTATTGAAATAATATTAACACCATAGATTTCGCTTAATATTACTACTAATGAATTTACATACCGTTATTTTTTATTGAGAAATAATAATATTATACATACTATTATTTATTATTATATGAAATAATCGTATATACCTGTATAATAATCGAATATTATAGATTAATATTTTTTAAGGTATACGATTATCAAACTACATTAGACTGTAATTCGCATGAAAAAGCAAAAACAATGTACAATATTTTAATTAGCCTCAGCAACTTAATACATCGAAAAAAACAATGTGGGAATAACGAAATTTTCTATTAAATTCTCAGAATTTAATTATATTTTATATTCCTTTTTCAATCATTTAGTACTTTTCATTGTTTATTCTTTTGTAATAAATTATTGTATTAGTATCCAAAAGGGTGCATTTAAATATATACAAAAGAAATATACCGTTCGTAAGTACTTAAAAAATATTCAATACTTGTGTAATTACAAAATACTAACTAATATGTAAAATAATATATAAAATTAATATAAAAAACTAATATAAAAAACTAATATAAAAAACAATAAATCTAGTGCGCAAATATGCAAATATCGTGTATATTTATCAGTTAATTTTTTTAATTAAAAATTAATAAATCGCTTTTGTAAATATTCGATTAAATATTCACATATATATATATTTCATTCCTATAAGCTCTAGAAGAAAAGTTTATCTTTTCTTCTTTTTTATACGTTATATAAAGCCATTCCATACACAGTTTTAAAATTTAAATATTGTACATATTTTAGAAGTTTATGTATTATTTTAATATTACTCTACAGATTTATTTTCTTCTTTATTTTTCACAGAATATGAAATCTTAATTTTCATTCTTCCTAAAATCATGACAAAAAATTTAAACTACATAAGACATAAATGTGCATGCAATTAAGACCATAAATTTTACTAATCTGCTTCTATAATATTCATTTTTATATATAATTAAAACTAACAACTAATAAAGTTTGTTTCATATTTAGCTATCACTCCTTTTTATTTTTTATTATTTTTATTTTCAACCAGTGTTTAATTAATTTAGATTATAGTAAATTATAATAACTTATTATTAACGATTTACCAATTTGTGACAAATTTTTGTTTTTAATTGTAAATAAATAAAAATATATTTAGAGACATTTCAAATTATTCCAGAATATGTTTATAATAACTATTATTTTACTTATGTAATTGTTTATCGATACAGAAACGTATATGTAGAAAGTATACACTTTGTCAAATATCATTGTTCATTTAAAATTTACTATTTTCTATTTGGTTAAAATATGTTAAACAACTTTTAATAGGTTCAATTGAAAATTACTGCTTAATTTTGTTTCTAGACTATTCCAAAATAAAATTGGTATAAAAAAATGTTACATAAATGTTATTGAAAGGAAAAATACCATTCAATAGGAAGTCAAAAAGTAATGAAATAGTATATGAAATATTTTAACAAAGAATATTAATTACTCCACATATAGAGGTGAGTGGAGTATGAATTCAAATATGATAATAACACGAGAAAAGTTTTATTTCACTTGTAGATCGTATTACTTGAAGTACTCCAGAACAATATTGAAATAAATCCGAATAAAATGCATATTAATATATGAATTTTACTAGTAATCAAATTCATAAGTAGTAAAATATTAATATAATGTTTACATTAATATTAATAGATAAGTTTGTACAACTAATTCAAATACTAAATTTACAATTAAATGATAAATTTTTTTTTTAATTATAACTGGTAAATATATAAAATTAGTATTTTTAATTTCCATAAAGATATAATTAATTAATTAAAAATCTTATTTCCGGTTTCCATAAGGTAAAGGTTCTCTTTTATGTTTTAATATATATATATATATATATATATATATCTTATTTAAAAAATTGATTTAATTCTTCTTAAAATTCGAAAATGTATAATGATAAATATTACAATTATCACATAGGTATTATCAAAATTATAATATAATTAAAATGTAATATACTTGTGTTATCAATTATTGTTGTTCATTAATTTTTTCTAGATTCTCATTTGAATCTTTTATATTAACATATATTTTATATTTGGACAAATTGTTTTTGTATTTAAATTTTTAACTAAACTATCAGCAACACGTTTATAAAATTTGAAATCTTAATTAAAAAGTTTACGACGCATTTACTATTTTTTTATTACAGTAATTATTGATATATCGAACGTTTTCATTATTATACCTGTAGAAAAAACCATTAATATTTTATACTTCAAATTGTATAGATAACTAAAATTATTTATTGATCGAGATAAAACAATTAAACTAAACGATATCTTTAATTAAGTAGAAAAATTTTAGTTAGTATAAAAATGTAATAAAATTTATGTTTGATAATATAAAATAACATTTTCATCTTAATATAAATTGTTTTGATATTATTAAATTCATAGAGTAGTTTAGTTAATGATACAAACATAATTTTTCTGTTTCAAAGATTTTTTTAAAAATGTAAGTATTTTCTTGAATTTAGTATTGTATTTATTTGTAACAATTTAAGGCATTTAAAAATTTATAGTAGAAAAAATTTTCATTTCTTTGGTTATATTTTCTCTATTATATTACGACAATCAATATCAATTTTTATGTAAGCATTTTTTAAATATATAAACTATTTCATATTATTAAATAATATTCAAAATATCATAATATTTAAAATAAGAAAACTATTACGTAATGTTTTTCATCTAGATATGATGCAAAATTATTTATAGAAATATATTGCCAATAAATAAGTTATTTATTTATGAAAGTGTAATAT